CACATGTGTTCTACGGTGTGCTGCTGCTGTGAAGAAGCTGGGGAGGAATCTGGGAAGCAGAAAGTGCAGCGTCTGGAGGAGGACCAGAGGAGGGTTTGGGCAAGCAGCTGGAGTCTGTTGAATGCTGAGACCAGGGGAAGTGGAGACAAGGGGGTGCTGTGCCTGCACAGAGAGGTGCAGGATCTGGAGGAGTTCTGTTCTCATTTCTGCTGCCGACTGCTGAGACAGAGATGGGGGGAGCAGAGACAAGCCTCTCCGCAGTTGCATAGCAAAGATCAGGATATGGTGGAGGAGTTCTGTCCTCCTCTATGCTGCCCACTGCAGAGACAAGGTGGGAGGTTGGAGGAGAGGGGGTGCTGCAGTTGCAGTAGAAGTGCGAGGGCTACATAAGAAAGCCTGGTGGGCTTGACACATGTGCTCTACAGTGTATGCAACATATCATCAGAGGGCCAGCTGTCTTTCCCTGGTTCTTGCAGTTGGCTTCCTGATGACTTGTGCTTCATCAAGGGGCCAGCTGCACGAACTGGAAAAGGACAACCGGCTTCTGATGACGTTGGAGAAGAAGATGGTGTTGCAGGACCGGGTGAACATAATACAGTTACATTTGCTAGGCATGTGAGAATTTTTTTTGTGGATAAACCAACAGAAAGATTTTTTTGGGGGGATATGTAGGGAAGGGGGGGGGAGTGAAGTCTGTCTTTAAAACAATATCCTCTTTTTTGATGAGAACGTTAGTTTTCCTTAAATATATAAAGTCATTGAAATTTACTGTATTTTGTATCTTAATGATCAGGATCACATTAATTAGAAAATAGATGGAGAATCAAGCTGTCAAGAGGCTGGGAGAATGGACTTTACGCAGCGTCTGCAGAGATTGATAGATATTTGCAGAGAGCGCCAGTAAATCTCTGTTCCTGCACTCAGGCAGCTCTGTTGTAACAGAGTTGTGGCCTCCGGGAGCAGACTCCCCCAAACACTGGCAGACTGAAGGTGCACAATTGATCTGTACTTCTTCTTCTCAGTGGAGTTGTCACAGGAAATAATGGTTATTGTTCTGTCCTGGGAAAGATAAATGGCTCCTGGCTAAAAAGAGAGTTAATGGAGTCCCAGGGAGAAAACACTTCATGTTATGTGAGAAATATCTCTTCCACGCTTTGAGACTGCTGGGTGATCAGCAGGCAGTTGTAGAATGGTGATGTAGATGTGTATACCAAGGAAAGGATCTCAGTACTGCCTTCTGCCTTTGATGTCGGACCATGTGGCTCTTTCTATTTTTTTTTTTAGGTTACCAAAGTGGTTTCGAAAGTCACTTTCAATATGTTTAACATTGCAGCTTTTATTAGAATAATACCTCAAAATTCCTTTTCAGACACCTCCTGTTATAAGGTGACAACGCTCTGTTACTTTTGCCCAGTTGTGCTTAGGTATTGTCACCCTTTCACACAGGATTCTAAAGGAGATTATAATGGCTGTTACAACACACATTATCCAGGGATGGTTCACTGTTATTGTGTCTGGAAACCCAACCTGAAAATAATTTTGCAGCTGTTGCTGGAGTACATGCATGTAGATAGGAAGTGGCTGCAGATAAGTAGCACAGAGATGCAACAAAGGATGAAAAAGGTTAAAGTGTTACTAAACCCAGGACTCTGCATTCACTATATCTGGTCTCCCACAGTACACAGAACATGGAAATGCAATTATTTTAGTAAATATAAACTGCTAAATACATTTTCTCATCAGCAGTGTCCAGCTGAGCACTGGTTAATCTTGTAGGGGGAGTTTTCATTCTCCTCTGACTGTCCCATGAGGCTGCATAGCCCCGACCCTCTGTTTGGACAGTGCTGAGTGGCCCTTTGCTGATCATATGCATCCTCCCAAAGAAAGGAAAACTCTCTATCAATACACACTAAACTGAGCATGTGCAGAGTGACTCCTAGAGCTCTGTACTATCATCAGATGGATTGGGAACAGTAGAATAAGGGGAGGATCAGAGAAGACAGGACCAAACAGCCATTTCACACAAATGCGGAGGATTAACCCCTTAGATTCCATAGTAAATATAACAAGCATGCTTTACTGCATATACAGACTGATTTTACTGATGTTGGTTTAGTAACACTTTAATCCCTTCCTGCCCAGCTCCATCATCCCTTTAGCTGGAGGTTTATGCCCTGGGTGCAGGAAGGACTGCTCAAGAATGTGACCATCATGATTGGCTGTCACAATGGTCACATGATCGGGAGCCGGTCCCATTGGCTCCCGATCATTACTAGTGTCTGGGAGCTGTCAATGACAGCTTGGTCACTGTTCTGCATGTGGGCAGTGAGCACAGAGCACAGAGACATCAAACATCAATGGATGCATATATGCTGTGTGTGGGCGTTAAAGCCCACACTCTATGCTGCCACACAAAAGCATTGCTTTGGTGGCAAGAGGATAAAACATTATTTTGGAAAAAAAGGGCAGTTGTTCATCTCCTGTGCTTTCTAGCAAACTAAATGTCATTCACTTCAGGTTTGCTACTGTGCATTGCATTTAAAGAAGTTTCATTTAAATTTTTATTAATGTGCTCTGTTCCCAAAAGGACAAATTGTGATATGTCCTATATGTTGTCTAAAGCAGACTGTGAAGTCAGACAAGGCGTCCCCCCTCACACCACAGCCATCTGATATACAGCTAGCAAGGAAAAAAGGCACTTTTCTGCATCTCCAAGCCCTCTTACCTGGAACATTTTAGTTGACAAGCCCCCCTTTGCTTGCATTTCTCATGGGATGCTTGCCTTTGGCTAGTGATAGTCTCCTTGCTATCTGTGTTATCAACCAACCATGGAGCCAAAGGGGTGCCCTTACAGAAAAATCCCTATTTCTCTTCCAGGATGACCAATAACCTGGGTACAAAAGTGATAAAGCTGTGAGCAACTGTTTAAAATGTTTAGAGTTGCATCTTTTTTGGGCCGCTGATTAATACAACTGTGCATGCGTGCCAATATTTGCAAACCGATAATATAATGGTGCACCCCAAAGCAATTATAAACTGATACTTGGGTTCACTGAGAGATGGTACACCAAATGCTAATTTAAAATATTAAAGGGGTGTTTCACAGATGCTTCTGACAAATGTGTGCAATAACATAGAAGGATGTCCCTTCTCCAGTACCCCTGTAAGTAATAACAGACCGTATCGCTTTTGCTTTGGTTTACTGGACACACATCTTTTATACTTACCTGTACGTGGAGGTGCAAACAAATGAATGGTAAAGTTGGCTAACACCAAATTTATTTTTCAGGTTTGCATAAAGTATGGGGGAGTTAGAACCTTTGTCAAGTTTTTGTTCTTTGACCATTGTCACCAGGACTAAAAGTGAGGGAAAATTCAAACAAGATTAGAGCAAAAGTCTGTAATTGGAGACATTTGTGGAGTTTTTTTTTTTAGAATAAGGTTTTATCAAACAACTTTAAAGGGATACACTTGGGCAGCACAAACCATGAAGCATCATAATCCCATCCAAGTACAATATTATCTAAATGAAACATAATTGTAAAAGTATTACAATAAGGTCATTAGAACCTTAAGGCAAAGTGAACAACACGAATGCTGGACACCTGCCAAATACTTAATTATCAAAGATATATACAATGTGCAAACCAGTGCTTCCCAAAGGCAGAGAACAACCTGTGTGAAGAGAAAATGAGAGAGCTGTCCAAGAAGGTGCACAAGAAAGAATGAGAGAGGAGGCAGTCAGAAATTCAATTGAGGTATACCACACTGCTATGAATTTAGAGTATTGTTCCTGTAAACTCGCAGTGAGTTCCTCCATTCTCAAGAAATGGTTCAATTCAACTATTCAGATGTCTGGGTATAAGTGTCTATGCTGCGGAGAGGAGGAAGCTAATTAGTCACTTTTTGGCCACCGACGGGTAGCCTGGAAAGATGGAAAGCAAGGCCAATTGCGGAGACATCTGCCGTAGATCATGGTGTCTACATAGCCTCCACATCGCCAACTCTGTTCAGGATAGGTTGGGAGTATCCTATGCAGCCCAGCAGGACACCTATACGACCTGGTTAATATTTTGCAATTCCGCTGTTGTGTTATTGACAACTGCCTTAGGTTGACTTTCTCCCTTTTGCTTTGAAGAGATTTTCTTTCACTTCCTGTTGTGCCTATGGGAGAAAAAGTGAAGGGAATTCTCCCTATTAGGACAAAGTTGCCAAAAAGAGAGACTGGGGTTTTAACAATTCCCTACTCTCCAATAAAAAAGGTTTTGGTTTTAGATATACAGTGCTTTAATTTTTTACTGTTGTGAATTTTTGTTACCTAAACAAAAAAAAAAGAAACAGTCACAAAGTTTTGCCAACTTTCATTTTTCTAACACATTGAAAACCTTTACCTGTTCATATATTACGTCTTGTTCCATTATGCTCATACAGGATCTTGAATCGAAAGTCCTGTCTTTGAGAAGTGTTCAAATTTTAGCCTTTGTGGGGTAATTCTTTATGAGCCTCTAGAAATGCTCCCCTTACAGCATAAGTATACCAATGCTACTAAGAGTTTACCAGCATGACTCCAAATGGCAACTGTTATAAGTATTACATGTCATGATAGCGTGATGATAGTTTACCTTAAAGGCTGAAAACAAAAAAAAAAGACATAATGTGTAATGATAAAATTATTTAATTGTTCATTTTAACAGTAAGGAATATTTCCAAATTACTAAATGAAACATTATTCTTTTTCCTTCTGCAGGCTTTTTGACCTCGGTATGAAGATTTGTTTGACACAATGAGAATACAATGACACCGCACACATTTCAAGTGCATCCTGCTCCTAGATATTCTAGCTGTATTGGTGATATGTCAAGGTGATATTTTTGGAACTGTGAATTTCTCCCTGTGGGAGGAGGCTTAGAGGTGGATCCTGCCTCCTGGTCCTTCATTGTGATTATTAAACTAGTGACATCATGCAGAAGCTCCCATGAAGAGGACACCACTGAGCTGAGATGGTTTTGCACACTTCCCCCTTTCCCAGTAGCTTCCTCTCATTCCTCCACTCCCTGTCCTGGGCATTGATTTTCCCTTGTTTCTGGCTCGGAGATCGCCTCCTTGCCTCCTTCTTGCCTACCACCTATGAAAAACGTCAGAGATCTGATGACCCTTGTTACTTCCAGGCACTTTGCATTATCATCACTACTCCAATTTACTTGGCCTTGCTAGTATCCTCTCTTCCTTTTGCGCTTATTGGCTTCCTGGTATGGTCACCTCTTCAAGCTGTCCGTAGACCTTACATCTATTCCCGCCTGCAGGATAAGGCCAGGGCTAGTGGAGCCAACTTGTTGACTGAATGGAGAGGCACATCAAGTGCTAAGAGTTTCTGCTTTGGATCTGCCAATGTTTGCTTGTTGCCTGATTCACTTGCAAGGTTTACAAACCTCTTTAACACTCAGGCACGGGCTAAAGAGATTGGAAGAAGAATACGAAATGGGGCCAGTAGACCTCAAATCAAGATTTACATAGATTCTCCAACCAACACCTCAATCAGTGCTGCAAGTTTCAGTAGTCTTGTGTCTCCACAAGGGGCAGATGTTACCCACCGAGCAGTCAACATGGGCATGAAGAGAACAACATCCATGGAATACAAAGGAGACAATTCTGGGGAAAACAGCAGTGAAGAGGGTCGGGATGGGAAGAATGGAGGGGACATGGGGGATGGGGAAGACAGTCCGTGTATTATCCGCATCAGTGGGGATGACAGTGGTCACATATCGGACTCTGATCCTGATGCCATGGCTGGGCACGTGAATGTGGCATGCTTGGCCGACACAGAGCCAGACTTCCAGAAAAGCCCAACCCCTAACCACAAGCACAGGGAGGGGGATGGTGGAAGCCTGGACAGCTGTACCACTTCTCGTGAGTCGTTAGTCAAGGGCAGGGTAGCAGATGGAACTACTGACCAAAGTGGTATTAACAACAAACTTCTGTACAGGACATCCATTATTAAGAAAGCTGCTGCACGCAAAAAAAAGCATACAGACGATATCTTAGATCATGAAATATCTGCCTTCTTCCCAGCCAACCTGGACTTCCTGTGCCTGCAGGAAGTATTCGACAAACGAGCTGCAGAGAAATTGAAAGAACAACTACACTACTATTTTGAATACATTCTGTATGATGTTGGGGTATATAGCTGCCATGGCTGCTGTGGCTTTAAGTTCCTAAACAGTGGGCTCATGATCGCCAGCCGATACCCCATACTGGACGCTACCTATCACTGTTATCCCAATGGGAGAGGAATAGATGCGCTGGCCGCCAAGGGAGCTTTGTTTGTCAAGGTGAGGAACTGGTATGTTTTATTTGAACTACAAACCCCATACTGGGATTCATGCTTAAAAATACATCAGAGAAGAATGTGTAGTGCAGTAGTTGGCAACCTGCTAGATTTTTGAAGGCCAATTCATGTATGGGCAGGCCGGTTGTACTTGTGTACAACCAGCCTGTCGAGTTTTTCCCAAATGATCAGTGCTGAATGAGTGGATGTGAGAATCATATATATATTTTTTTTCCATTCAACCTTTTGGTTGAACAACAAAAAAAAAAAGATCAATGCATGGGATGCCTTAGTGCAAAGCAACTCACTCATGGGATGCCTTTAAACAAATCACTGTTTATTTAAAACCGTAAACTGTAGGGAGACACTTAATAGAGACACCTAAGGCTGCCTGCATGTAAATTTTAGCAACACCCTTATAAAGTTTCCAAAGTTAATCTTCCTCATCTTTCATATCTCATTATTGGTCAATCCTTGTGACTGACATTTTCACTGACCAATAAATGTAGGATGTGTAGGAGAAGGAAGCACAGTTTGGGGAACATAAGAAGTTATTTGCGAGAACCTCTAATGACTATCTGGAAATGCTAGAAAGTATATACTACCATATGTGTAAGTACTTTTTGGTGTCTGCAATACATGTATGCCTTCAAATTAGGGGATTTAAAACACAGATTCCCACAACTGACGTTTTTTAGAAAATAAAAAATATGCACTGTAACACCAGTCAGCACAAGTATGCTACCATTGTCCTTAACACCTTTACTGATCTCTAGGCACAAACACTTAAATATACACAAAGGAAATACAGTTTTGTCAATTAAAGCTTGTCAGAGACTAAGGCAGTCAGATGACACCACTTTCTCTGTTACAATAAAGGTATTACTGTTCAAGCTGCCTTGCCCACAGCCTGCTGATTGGACAGTAAAGGAGCAGCAAGAACTCATGATGTTATCTCTCTGCTTACTCTGCTTTCTCCTTCAATCAGTGTGTCTTTCAAACCTTTTGTATGCAGCTCACCCAATTGCTTGCCAGTGATGCCCCTCTCCCAGCCTAACTGCTGCTGTACAGAAGATTATAAGAAGCTGAAAACAATAATTGATTTATTTATTAATGAATACAGAGCTGCTTTAATGTGTCATTTATACTCCCCTGGAGTTCAGCTTTAAAAAGCACAATCAGGAGAAGTAATGCATCTTATTAATGTTTTAGCAAAGGTGATTCTATATTTCACCTCTCTTTCCAGGTCCATTTTGCAAAAATAGTTGAAAATTACTATAATGAGTAACACCTGAGGTGTTTTTGAGGCTAGGAAAGCAGACCAATGCCCTTGCTATAGTGAAAGCTTCAGCATATATGTATGTGGGCAGTTATGTTCTTCCTCCCACACTGTAAGACTTCACCCCTTTTCTTTATCCTTCTTACCAGGTCTTCCAGGTAGAGCAAATCCAGGGGCGAAGGACAATGTAAAGTGTATGCAAGAGTCTGCTAGGGGCCGACAGGATACTGTCCAAGAGTGAAGGGGAAGGACTTTTAAGATAGGTATGGGATGGGAAGAGGAGGGGATGGGAGGAAGATAAATAGTAGTGTAGGGCGTTTATTAGGTTTGTGAGAGAAAAAGGTTATGGAGAAAGGAAGGAGGGTGTAAGGATGGTAGGGTATGGGGTATGGGCGGTAAAGGAGCTGAAGCAGATCTAGAAGGATGGCAGGAACAGGACTCCAGGGAGGTAGAGAACCCTACACCCCAGTGAGGAAGACCCCAAATTCCCAAGCATGCCCTGACTCATTGTTCATGTTTTTGGTTGTGTATGTTTGATCTCTGCTGTGAGTGAATGATGTCTTGTTTCAGTCAGCTTGGTGAGAGAGATGAGGTTGGCTGGTCAAGAATGGAAAGCTAGTGTGGTGGGTGCATTACGTAATTGTATGCAGCAGATTATTTGTAGAGGTGCCATCTGGTCCAGTTTTTTATTATTATGGCTAATGTGGATCAATTTTTCCATGGTTTATCCGGGAACGTCAATCTCTGGCGGTTGGATATATTCTGATGTCCACTGTAGATGTTTTTGAGTTTGATGTTCTGTGATGCTGAACTTCAGAACACTAGCTGCTAAGAGAAGGTGGAAAATAACAGTTTTCTCACTCATGTATAATATCTATTTCCAAGGTTACCAGTTACTTTCCAATCCTAATGATCTCCAACCTAATCTCCTAGTGATGCTCTGGTAATATCTAAGCAGCATGTATCAATCGGTACTTATAGGTAATCTGTCAGAATAGCAGTGTGGGTGTTGTCATTTCTGACTTGAGGTGAGCCACTGAGCTGGAACAAGCATATGTAAATCACTCAACCCACAAAGTACTTAAATAGAAATTCCACTTTAGATCACGCTTTCAAACTATACAAATGTGTCAAAACTGCCATGTTGGAATGGCTGTGACAAACTACAGACATTTGTTTTTGGTATCTGCAGCATTGAATCCATTTCAAAGATACGAAAGTTTATTTCTAGTGTGTGAGAGACTTGTCTTGGTTCTGCCCAGTTACAGTGAGTGATAGCATGAAAATGTCCAGGAGGCAACTTTTATGTTTTTAACTATAAAGAGGTTCAGGAAGATATGGGAAAATCTACCAGTAAAACATAAAATTTCTTTATACTGCACCCTTCACTGATTCACTATCCCAGAGGCAAGCACAGCCGTTCCCTTCTCTGTCCTTCTCCATTACAGCATTATACCCATTACTAAATGACAGATGTGACTAAATGTATATTATCTAAGACTTTTCTGTATGCCAAGCTGCAAGCACATGACAGAATAGCCCAGGGGTAGGCTTAAAGTGCTGCATGTAGGCCCTGGGCCACCAGCCATTCATGTCATATTATTTATGTTGGGATATAGAGCCATTGCTCTGTGTATGGCTTGTAGCTTCTAGACAGTGGGACGCCATTCTATGCTGCATAAGTGGAATAGACAGATACAGATAGGTCTTTATGTTGATGCATGTGCCTCTTAATTAGATCTGAATACATTCATTATCTCAATTTATGAAGGTGAAGGTTAATAGACCCATATATCAAATCTTTCCATAAAGCATTATACAGACTTATGAACATCATTGATCATCTTTATTATTTTCAGTGTACCATTCTGATTTTAACTGTCATTGCATTTTTTTGGCAGCCAAAAAACAAGCTGTGTTGAGTATAAAAAGCACTTTGGATCATGAGTAAAAAAAAGTAACTTTGTTCATTTTAAGGGTCCATGCATAGTGGGCTTAAAAAAACATCACTTCTTTTGGCAAAAAAAAAACATTGATATAGAGCATTTTTGTACAGGAGTTTAGGAAATATTAGTGTTTTTTTTCTGCCAGAAAACTCCTCTAAAAAAATAAACCAGAAGGGTTTTTTTTTCTGCTTCTAAGCACTGAGACTAAAATAAGCCTCTAAATGTCCTAATGTGCATGGACACATAGGATGACATTGAGTTACTTCTACAGGCAAAATGCAAAGCTCCCGTAGAAGCAACGTTTTATAAGCCCAGTGTGCACGGACTCTTAAGTACATAAATGAGCAAAATATTTGAATCCAAGTTTTAAATTTCTCATGGAATGGAAGGCAGATGAGACATCAGGGGTCTAGAAAACCTGCAAAGTGGTCTGCAAAACACGTTACATATCACCGTACATCCCAGAGTGATAGCAATAATTTTAGCACCAATATTCACAGTTACCTCTAAACTGATTACCTGTAGGGGCTTTTAAAGTATCTTCTATATATAGGCTAGGAAAGCAGACCAATGCCCTTGCTATAGTGAAAGCTTCAGCATATATGTATGTGGGCAGTTATGTTCTTCCTCCCACACTATAAGACTTCACCCTTTTTCTTTATGCAGATTGGCATGGCAGCACTGAGTGGCTAGTTTATGGAGTTAGGGATTTTTCCAAACTATCTTTGTTGGAAAAAAACTAAATTTTATCAAGAGCTACAATGCAGTACATTGAGTAACAGACTACAGAGACTGACAATAATGAGTACATAGGGGTGAAGTAGGTTAGGGAAGACAGTTCCAAGGTCCTACAGAAGAGTTGAAGTAGACTTCCCGGTTGCATTGTACAAGTTCATTGGAGTGTTTTTCACACAAGGTGATAGTAATCTAGGGCCATTCACTCCCCCTGTGCTTCCTTCTTACCAGGTCTTCCAGGTAGAGCAAATCCAGGGGCGAAGGACAATGTAAAGTGTATGCAAGAGTCTGCTAGGGGACGACAGGATACTGTCCAAGAGTGAAGGGGAAGGACTTTTAAGATATGTATGGGATGGGAAGAGGAGGGGATGGGAGGGAGATAAATAGTAGTGTAGGGCGTTTATTAGGTTTGTGAGAGAAAAAGGTTATGGAGAAAGGAAGGAGGGTGTAAGGATGGTAGGGTATGGGGTATGGGCGGTAAAGGAGCTGAAGAAGCTCTAGAAGGATGGCAGGAACAGGACTCTGGGGAGGTAGAGAACCCTACACCCCAGTGAGGAAGACACCAAATTCTACAGGCAAAATGCAAAGCTCCTGTAGAAGCAACTTTTTATAAGCCCAGTGTGCACGGACCCTTAAATATTGGGCAATGAAGTATGTTTTCATTTTGCAGTTGCTCCCATGTTTAAGGCCATGTTTAATTTTTATGTTTAAAAATGTCAGTAGAGCTAGCTGTATAAAGTCGCATTAAAAAGTTTTTTCTGCATTTTTTTTAGCATTTTTGCATTAACGTTTAGCCACGTTTTGCCACATTTTTCTGTTTTAGTGGTTTTTAGCAGTCTTTACACAAAAAAAAAATTGGGGCTCAAAAAACGCTAAAAAACACCAGTTTACTAAGTTTTACCGCATTTTTACTGCATTTTCCAGCGTTAATTCTGGGGGGGGGGGGGTTTCCAGCCAAAAAACACTGATTAAAGCCTATGTGTGCATGGAAATGTAGGATAACATGCTGGAGGATTTACTGACTGTAGAAAAAAATGGCAGAAG